TATTTTATTATTACAGATTACAAATTATATTCAATATCAGTCAAAATTAATTTTAAAAAATGCATAAAATTTCATTTCAGCTGATGTTCCATGCATTTTTTGTAGGATCTTAGTTTTTAATACTCCCCAGTCACACACTAAACCCAGTAATACAGGTAGGTCACATACTAAATTCGATTTTCAACAGGTAGGTCACATACTAAACGAATACCAAATAAAGGTCTTAAACTATAATCAATCACTTGTTTGGCTAATAATAAAATCCTCGTCTTGGAAGTGAAATGAACACACCACAGCATTTTTTGGAGTTTTTTTGCCCATTTTCAAAACAATCTCCCACTGTCGCTTTTTGTTAATGTTGCTTGGAAATGCATGAAAACTTACACTAGTATCACCACGTCTTAAATATAATAAAATAATATTTATTATTATAGTATAGTGTTATATTAGTAACAGTAATAATAAATCACTAGTTATATTACTAAATGTGTATTATTTCTATTGAAATATTGAACTTACATATTTTTCTTATTGCACTGAGGTACACAGCAGTATCTTTTCGAATGATGGCGTTTGGAATTTGATTTATTTGAGTAGGTATGATCGGATGTGGACATTTTAAATTATATTTTAATATTAAATAATGAAAGTCAAGAAATATTTTAAAAATTCACAGTTTATATTTGTATTTATATTTATATTCACACGTTACACCACGTTTTTTGTACATGAAATGATATTATCATTTCATCATTAGCCTACATTTCGTTAGTTCTTATCAATACCGCTAGAGTTCAGTTACTTCGATTGGAATCGCCAATACTTGGCGCGCGAGTGCTTGACTGAGAATATTCATCAAAACTATAAAAATGTCGCAATAGACCATAGGGACTATTTATACACAATAATAATGATATTTAATGGTATGTTGTTTCTCGGGATTATAACGAAAATAATAATAATAAAACCCAATGCTTATCTATACTGGTTCGCGCTGTGGCTATTTATATAAATATCGATATTTATTTTATGGGCTAAACTATATTTATTTTATTACGTGATATATTTAACGTCATCTATTGATTTTACAGAAAATTTTCGGAAATATTATTGATTAAAAATGATGTGACTAATAAGTCACTATGGTCAGATAGTACTTAATTTATTTTACCTATGTTTAAATTGATAAAATACACAAAGGACTCAAAAGTCCCGTTGGTCGACAAAGGGTTAAAATATATTTCATTTGTTTACTTTGGAGAAACAATGATGATAGGTTTCATCCTATATTTTATATTTGTTTCGAAATTGAAATTTTTTTATGCTTTCCGACATTTAACATCTAATCCAAAATTTAATTGAAGACAATATTCTGAATCAAATAAAAAATTTAATAAATAACCAGGGTTAAAGTTTTCACATGAATTTTTCAAATGAGTATTAATGCATTTCTTAGCTTAGCCCCAACATTGTCTTCTGTTGCCAAGAAAGAAAAATGTTCAACAAACAGACTTTCTAATTTAAAAATGTTATTATAAAACTCATCTTGGGGCGAATGAGTTGAGTTATCGTTTGCAGTACATTTGAAAAAAGATTTTAAAAAAGGATGGTTTAATTTTTTTTTTTTTAATTTTTCATACGATCACTACAAGTATGTTTATCGAAGCATTTTTTCATAAGATAACCACCGATGTAAGTTGAAGTGTTCTCTTCTTGAAAATATTTTATTTTCTATGGTCAACTGTACCAATGTTGATATGTTGTATTAAATTAGAAGTAGTTTTACTGGGATTGAAAATTTCATTAAATGAGGCTAAAATTATATTAATTTAATTTAATTGAATTAATACATTATCAAGGTCCTCTGCAATTTGCTTCACGAGAATGCCTAAATTTTAACACAAAAAATCTTTTTGAATGCCCAAATGAACTGTATAGGAGTTGGATTAGTGTTGTTACCGTGCTGTTGACAAAAAGTTCCACATACATTTTCAAGGCAGTCTCGATTTATACGACCAGTACAAAGGGTATAGTCTTTATTATATTATTTAGACCAACAGCTATACAGTTGTTAGAAATTAAATAACGAATCATTGGCTACCAGTTATAGTTGATTCCTCTAGTTACCAGTACAAAAGCATGCTTATCAGGATCATATGTTTATGTTTTATTAGATTTGGATTGATGAAAACCAACTATCAGATATTTTGATACATTGTATTAAAGGTGAGTTTTAATTTACATTTCATCTGCACAGAGAATGCAATTTGATGCTTCAGTAGAAAATATTTCGGTTTTAAATGATAAAAATTAAACATAAAATTGTTAATTCCAGGTTAAAGTTCATATATAGAAGTGATTTCTCTTAAAGTTCTTATAGTAAATAAGTTGGTAAACAACAATTTTTTAGTGTAAATGAAAAACATAAATTGTGAAAGCAAACTGTTTAATCGTCTTCGTTGAGGAGTTTGATCTTTATTAAGAATACTAATTTTGACCACTATAAATAAAGAAGGTGAAACATACTTTTCAACCAGACTCAAGATATTATCAACAGTGTCTGTCTACTCTAAAAAATTGTTTGGTTGCTTATGAAAGATCAGTGGCGTAGTCAGGATTTTTTTTCGGAAAGGGAGGGCTGATCAATTTTTTACACAGCGGTGGTTTAGTTTTTGATCGAATACCATACACCATTAAAAAAAATTTTTAAATTTATTTACACTTCGGGGGGGGGGGGGGCTGCAGCCCCCTCAGCCTCCCCCTGGCTACGCCACTGTGAAAGATTTCCAATTTTATTTTGACCTCAGCCTTCTGACATTGATTTAGCTGACTCTTACATCATTATCCATCTGAATACTTTGGTTTGATTGAATGCATTCAGATTCAACGAAAGAATTATTGGCAAACATTACGTCCATTAATATTAGATTTTTGAACAAAAAACTTTTGGTTTTCAAAATGTAATGATTATAACTTATAAGCCTTGAGCAGAGCTTCAAAGTCTGTGGTTGGTTAATATCTTGTCTCACATTTAAAAACCCAAGAGGCACACCTATAAAATATGTACAATATCAATTATTGAACTATATGTTATAACTTTTAAGTTATAACTCATCAAACACAGTATAATATAAGACTCAAATTTGTTATCAGGATAAATTTTTAATATTTTAAAATAAAGATTTATTTATGTTCTTATCTTGAATGTATTTACGAAATTATATAATATATTTGCTGTTAATATTATTAATATACCGTCTACTAACATACTAATAAGTAATAAGTATTGTATAATTTTCATAATGAAAAATAACCTATCATTCTTTAGTTTTTGGTAAAATTAATTTATGCACAAAATATTATCTTAAAATACGTATTACTTATAACTTGGTATTTACTAGGTATGTTATATTTATTTGAGGATAAAATTATTCTTTCATTATCTTTATAAAAAACCCATTACAAGAGTTTGCATGAAGAGAATATGGGGTCTAATAATACTCATTTTCAGACTCATAAACTAATCAAAGGGAAATTGCTTTAGTGTCCTAATGAAATCAAAAACAAGGCAGATGACATTACACTTTCTAAATTAGATCAATAGTCCTGCAATAGCTGCAGTGCAGTGGTGGCCCTTAAAAATAAATATTTAAATTTTTTTTGTGGCACCCATCTATTTTTTGTATATGCCCAATTTAATATTAACTGCAAAGTTTGAAATCAATCGTTCAATTTTTATTTTTTAGCCGCGCCCCCAGGAACTTGAAGTTTAATAGTTTTGTAATTTGTTACAAAAATTACTGACATTGGGTTATAATTGTTTTTTCAACCAAAGAACATAAAATATTAATTGATATAAGTAGTGCATTTTACCCTACATTTTATGACGATTTCAAAAATGACACTTTTTCATTGTTACATCATTTATTACTGACACAGTTACAATGTTAAACAAAAAATAAGTAAAAGCTAAAAATATCTGCCTAAACCATTTTTATTGTTTTTTATTTATGACAGCCAAACGATTTATTAAAATTACAAATTTACAACATTTTTAAAACTAAGTGTCTATTATAATGTTTAAAAATAATTACTTATATGTTAAGTCACAGTTTTTTTGTTTAATGTTTCCTTTTTGCAGTCAGGAAATATTTTTCTGTAATCACTCAAAACTTGTAACACAAACTGTTTTTGTTAATTATTGGTGGTGTGTATTGAATTGTAGTCTCCAATCAATTTCATTCACCTCGGTCATATCATTAACAGTTTTCAGTTTAGAGACCATTTGCAATGCATTTTGAAAAGATAAATTTTCACTCCAATCTGCTGGGTCATTTAAAAGAAATTCCGTATCCAAGTTTAATATTTTGAAAAAATCTAAAGTTTCACTTGAGACGAAAAACTCTATTTCGTTTTTCACAAATTCTGAAATTTCTGATTCTTTTAAATTGAATCGTTTGATATTCTCCTTGGAATCTGTTTTATTATTTAATTTAACGCATGACTAAATAAATAGATATGATCACAAAAATTTAGTTTTCGTTCAGTTGGCGCATCTCCCACTATTCTAACCACAAAACCCAGGGCCGGATTTCCTTAAGAAGCGCCCCTAGGCTAATAAAAACCAAACGCCCCTACTCCTTGGAACATCATTTATTCAATAAGAGCTGAGAGTCCCCCTCCTTATACAAAAATGTATAATCATAAAATTAAATTTTTTTTGAAGTCAACCTAAAAAATTGAGTCCTAAATTTTTGTTGAGTAAGGTACTTAAAAGATACTAGACCAGAAGGTCAAAAAAAATACATTTTATTATGATGACAGAAAAAATATTATTCTTGATATATAAATAAAAAAAATTACAAAATAATTAAAAACAAATAATCAATGCATTTTTTTTTCATCCATAATACTTATCATAATAAATAATATTTATACTTGGCGCTTTCTTGACTTAGTTGCTGCAAACTTATTTATTAAGTCGTAGAAGTTCATGGATTCTAGTAATTCTGAATTCGCACTAAATGAAGCCAAACTAGATACCTGCTGGGAGATTTTTTATCTGACTCCTCTATTTCAATCTCATTTAAAAATTGCTTGAAATGTAAACATTCCTCATACAGCTCATCTTCTAGGTCATTAGAATATTTTTCAACTAATCTTTTAGTTCTTTCTTTTAATATTTTCGGGCATATAAATAGCAAGTCTGAAAAAAAATTAAATAGACTATCAATTTCAGTGTAAGCTTTTGATCTTTCTAATAATTCTAGGACCAGTTTGTCAATTATCACAAAAAATGTATTTATTTTCATAGCTTCTTTTCCTTCTAAAATGACTTCATTTTCGATATATTTGTCTAACCGTTTGGAAATATTTCTTTTTCTCTGTTCATCTTTTTCATAATTTTCGCATTTTGAAATTATTTTTCCTATAACTTCATAATCATCAAAACGATCCCTCAATTCGTTTACATAGTTTAATAGTGATTTATACAACAACACAACATCACACAAATTAATTGTAACTTTTTGAAGAGTTATACTTGTTTTATCAAATCTTTGTAATACATCATTCCAAAAAACTGTCATTATACCCGTTTCCAACTTATTAAAACTTTTACATAGTCCTAAAGCCTCGACTTTGGTTGCGGGTTTTTCTGAAGGATTTAAAGAAATTTCTTTTAAAGCTTCATAAAACAATTCATAACCACACAACAAGGCTCTACATGCATCACTTCTTGCTGACCATCGGGTCTGAGATAGTGATTTTGGTAATAAAATTGTATCATTACTGTTTTCTATATGTCTGAGAAGTACTGACCATCTTCCAGTCGAAGCACTAAAAAATACAAATATTTTTTGCACAAACATAAAAAATTTAGTAGCTTGTAAGCAACAATCAGCTGCTGCTACACTAACTAAGTTTAACGAAAGTGCCGAGCATGGCACATAGAATGCTAACGGGTAGTGTTGCTTAATTCTTGCTTGCAATCCTGTATACGCACAAGACATGTTAGCCGCGTTATCATACGATTGTCCTCTACAATCATTAATATCCAAGCCAAGAGACAAAAGCGTATCTAAAATAATAGTTTCCATAATACTACTTTTATGGCCAGGAAGTTGAATAAATTTCAAAAACCTCTCAACAGGTTCTCCTGATTCAAGAACATATCTTATTATAAAAGTAAGTTGATCCGTGTGTGATACATCGGGAGTAGAATCTACAGATAAAGAAAAATATTTATTTAATTTTATTTCTAGTATAATTTGTTCAGTAATATTTTGATACATTAAATTTATAAACTCATCACAAATAGTTTTAGATAAATATGAAACATGGCCACTTCCGGGGTTCCCGAGAGTTCTTATATGGTTTTGAAGAAATGGGTCAAACTAAGCAAGAACTTCTAAAAATCCTAAATAATTTCCATTATTTCTCAATCCAAAAGTTTCAGATTCCCCTCTAAATGCTAGTCCACGAGCTCCTAAAAATTTGATTACGCTCACAATACGTTTTAAAACATTTTTCCAGTAATTGCATTCTTCCAAATAATGTTGGTGTAGAGCAGAACTTATTTTACCTAACACGTCTTCTCTTAACGCGTACTTGTTTGTGTTAACACGGTGATCATGACCTCTCTCATGTTCATATAGTCTGTCACTATTTTTCCAATCATTAAACACTTGAGTAAATGTATTTGGGGTTGGTTGAAATAATTTACAAGACTTACAAAATAAACTGCCTTTTGATTCAGAATAAATTAACCATTCTCGTTTTCTCATCTCTCCATTTTTAAGTTTAGTGAAAAACATTGATCTAGTAACGTATCTTGATTGCGATGAATATAAACGTTTAGACGTAGAAAAGTCCAATTTATCAATGTCTTGATTAGATAGGTTTCTTATTATGAAATCAATAGTTTACGAATCTATAATAGGCCATTTAGCAGGATCGTTTAATGAGGAAATTATAAATTAATTTGCAGAAGAATAGTTGTCGGTAAGATTTTCATCGAGTGTTAATTCAGAAACTTGATTAACTAAAGAACAAAAATGAATTAAAGTTTTTTTTAAATCTATAATCTAATTCTATAATCTTGTGATAATATAATAATTAAACAATAAACATTATTGTAGAAAATAATAGCTAAATTTAGATAAATATATTATACCACCTGTTGTAAATTTTATCTACGGTCACAATAAGCAACAGTGGAGTAACTAAAAATAATTTTAAAAAATAAATAAAAACATTTTCAACTGAATTCATTTTTTAAATACGAGTATTAATAAAATTGTAAGTACCTACAACCTACGGCAAAAGAAAATATCAGTACTTAAAGACTGATGAAGTTATCCTGATAACTAATTACTAGTCTAATAAAATCTTTTTTAATAAGATGAAATATATAAATCTATACATATAATTCACATATTAACATTAATAAAATAATAACATTTTTATTTTGTATTACAGAATAAAATGTATTGTTTAACAGATATCATATTACAATTAAAATACATTTTGACTATTTTATCTTTAAAATTCTATGTGGAGTGTGTACAACTGTTGAACTGTACACCTGCACAGTGCACACGTAGGCACGAGCCGCAATGCAGCTTTTGTGTCTGTCATTTTTATTAATACTTAATAATATTAAAATATTTTAAGTTAAATACCTTTTACGTTTGAATCATCGCTTTCTGTAACTGAAGATGTAGACGATGGGGCTGCTTCATTTGATTTTGATGTTTCTGATACATTAGATGGCAAAACATTAAAAAAATGATCAAGCTTTTTCACTTTTGTCATTACATTATTATGTTTATCATCTTTTTCTTTTTGTAATTTTCTCCTTTGTGCACCACTTAATTTACTATTTGACATAGTGGTAGTTAATCAAATAATTTAAAACAAAACTAGTCAACAAACTGCAGAGCAATGAGCGTATAAACGTAATAATAATATCGTATAATGTTCAATAATATTAAATATAAAATATGTATAACCGTCCAATTTTCGATTAGTGGCTATTGAGTCTCGGTGATTTGACACTATAATAAGTGTAATGCGATAAAAATATAAAACAAAATAATAAATAAGCTATAAATAAGTGTACCTAACTAAAACTGCCGTCGACGCTGAAAGTATTATACGCTGCCGCTCGAATTATGATATAATTAGATTTATAGACACAACAAAAAACTTGTTTTTATATTATATGCAATATTCAATATGTACCACACACTATTTATACGGTGATTGTTACCCCACATTTTACCATACACAATCACATTATGTATATAATATATAAATATATATATATTTACAACATGTCCGTCAAGTTGGCACCGGCACAATATGCTAGGACTGTAATTCTGCCATCAAAAAATTGCTAGGAATTTGCTAGATTTTGCTAGGCCATTTTCAGAATTTGCTAGGGTCCCGTTTAAGTGTAAGTCCAAATACAAATATGCTGGTGCCAACTTGACACAGCACCGGCACATTGTCCGATCGGCTCGAGAGTGGTACCGAAATATTGCTATTGTTTTGCTAGATTTTGCTAGGTCATTTTTGGAATTTGCTATACTTTGGTTTTTCCAGTAACCCGGAAAATGGAAAATGGCTCAGCACCGGCACATTGTCCGATCGGCTCGAGAGTGGTACCGAAATATTGCTATTGTTTTGCTAGATTTTGCTAGGTCATTTT